ATCAATGCCTAGTTTTTCACTTGGACTTGGTCTTGGTCTAACACAAGAGTTTCAGGAAGGAGCAAAGCAGTGAAGATGAACACGAGAAGAAAGAAAGAAAAGATGAAAAAACTTGATGAAGAAGAAAGTTATGATTAGAAGAAACAGAATGTGACAATAATATCTTGGGAATTGAAGATGATCAAGAGGGAAAAAGAGAAGTAGCAAAAAGATTAAAAAAACCATCACTGAAGGTATCTTCTCCTTATAATCAAAAAGAGGTTTGTGCATCGAAATTTGTAGATCCAGATGAAGTAAAAGTAAGATAGCATTTTCCAAAATTGGTAATAGCAGGTAATAATTCATGTTAACTTTCCTTTAAATACAATAGTATATAAATACAAATATAAATTAATTTTCTATTAACTGTTTTTTTTGTTTTATTTGATTACAAATTAAGTGAGAAGGTATTTCAAACTAAGAGAGGTTATGTGCTTGGAAGAGGAATGATTGAAACCATGCAGGCAGGATTATGGATACATGCACATGTCATTGATGCTTGGACTGATGTTTTGAACTATGAAGAAAAGCTTAAATCAAATTATACAGTGAATCGGTATTTCTTTGATGCATCAATGGTGGTAAGTTAATTAAAAAATATATATCATGATAATGTTGATAATATAATAAAAAAATTTTCAATAGTTCTGATAAGTAATAAAATTCACCAGTGAATCTTATTATAATTCACAGTGTGAATAATTTAAATTTAAAATTTACCTTATTGTGAATTTATTAACAATTTACTCTTTAAAGTTTGATGTATATTTAAATTTTTTTGCAGAGACAGTTCATATTTGACAAAATATCCCTTTCATTGAAAGATATGATAATTGAGTCCAATATCAAAGATGCAATGAAAAAGGACAAAGAATTCTGACATTTGAAAAAGTTCACTTGGTAATAAATTGTTCTTTTTGTGAATATATTACATCTTTAAACAAAGTTTAACAATTTAAAATATTAAACAGGTGTTTTTCCCAATTCATCAAAAAAATCACTTTTACATCATCTGCATAAACTTAGAGGAACCAGCGGTTGATGTCATTGCCAATAGGAATTTAGTTGCAAAGTTTTCTAGAGCTTATCGTGATGCACCTAATGAATTGGTAAGAATAGTAAATTTACATTCTAAAGATAAGTATTAATAGCTAAAATTGAATAAAATAATAATTATAGAAAATGACAATTTCTTTTTTGCAGAAAATACTTTTTAGTAGGTACTTGATGAGGGTCAATCAAAAATCAACTTTAATTTTGGAGGGTGTTGAACCAGAAAGGGTGAACATGAATTGGCGCACGAGGGATAATCATGTTGACTGTGGAGTTTTTTGCATGCGTCATATGGAGACATATATGGGAGATAAAACAGTAAATTGGACATGTGGGTTGCCAAAAGAATCAAAACAACAACAAAATGTGTTAAATGATTTACGCATTAAGTATTTGACAAAGATACTATTGAGTGACGCAAACACATACAGGTCAAAAATCATTGCACAAACAGCTAAGTTTGCAAAAAAGACTAATGAAGAAATACAAGATTTGCTCAACAAAGGATGGGAAAAAAGGGGAGAAAGGATTTAGTACTTCAAGGATTGGAAAAATAAGTGTAAAACATAAAACTTAGTTTCTATTCATAATTGGTATAAGTTTAGATGCACTTTAATTTCCTTAAGAACATATACATGCTTATTATGTTACAATTTGATGTGAGTTTGTATATCAAGTATAATGAACTTTACTAATACTTAAAAGATGTTTATATTTTCATGTGAATGTCTACATGTATGTTATACAATTACATGTTTTATTAAAGATATGTTATTGGTGTGTGGGTTGGGGGGGGTGAGTATATTTCTACTTTGAATAAAGAATTGAAAGTACATTGTCATTTCATAAATTTACTTCATTTCTTTTGGTCTAAATGATTAAATGTTAATGTAATAACAATACAATAGATGTAGAAAATTTACATTGTTTATATAAAGTAACATTAACCTTGTGAAAATTTTATATGTGAGATTCACAATGTGAATTACAGTACATATTATAACATGTATATTTTATATGTTAGGTTCACAATGTGAATTACGATACATATAGATCATTAGAACAATTAATAGTTGAGCTTCACAATGTGAATTAAATTACATTAAGACAATCTTTAACATGAAAATTTTATATGTGAGATTAACAATGATAATTAATATACATAAATTAAATCATTAGCATGAAAATTTTATTAGAAAACATTCAAAAAACTAACAATAAAAAATATCTTTAACCAAAAAAAATAAATTCGAAAAAAATATATTCTATTATTAGAAATAAAGTCTAAAACAATGAATATCAAAATTAACATGAATATTTCAACATTTCTATCCATTGAATGATCATTACAAAAATCAATTCTTATTTTAGTAGTCTTAAAAAAAATTAGAAACAATCAGCCTTCTGTAACCTCAGATTCTAAATCAGACTTCTTTAACCTCAAAATGCAACTCCTTGAATTGTGATTTGGTTTATGACATAAACTGCACAAAATAGAACCCTTTTTAGATGTCTCAATCACTTTCTCTCTAGTGCTCTTGATTCTTTTACCACTGGCCCATCCCTTGTTTCTGATTCCCTGTGGATTATGAATGTTGATAACATCATGTACTGCAGCTCCAATAATTTTTTCAATGTGAACTGATCTACTCGAAGATGCCCTTGATGAGATACATAACGGAATACCACTATCAACCTCCTGAAGTTGCTTTATATATTTAGCCAACTCATCCTCATTACTTGCTATCTTGTTAATGGACAAACGAAGAATAACATACGCATCTTGAATCAAACATTCATTTTTACTGCCTTTAAGAGGATACGAGTACTTTTTTCTCAACAATCCATCAGCTATGATATATTTTCCCCATCTCCTCAAAATGAAATTTGATGGAATTTCATCATACTCTTTCATATTTAATATGAAAAACATATGACGACATAACAATCCTTCCTAGACAAAAAACATGCAGCTACAACTGATGCTAATGATATCACCCATTCTACTAAATACAACCTACAAAATTATCATTAATAAACAAATTAATATATGAATAAGAATTTGTATCTCATACCATTCGATAAAAATTATACAAATTAACATTGATTCACATTATTAACCAACAGGACATTAGAAATCATAATACTATAATATAAATATGTACTTCAAATCAAATTCACAAAAAAAAAATACATATACCATACTAATCTAATGAAAAGTACAAACCAATTTATAACTCTGTAAGAATTCACACTGTGAATTGGCAAAACATCCTACATTCACAGTGTGAATTTTTAAACTACATTTTATATTTAATAAACTCTATTAGGACAAAGAGACATACCTTGTAACGAGTATTAGGACAATGAGAATGAAGACTATTTCGATAAAAAATCATCAGAATCTTCATCCTCATTCACATTTTTATCAATCAACTTTTTTTTCTTCTTATCTCTCAAAAGATAAACTTCACTTTCATCTTCAATAACTACAGATTCTTGAACACAATAAAACACGGATTTGTATAACTCTTTCTGAATGTCCAAGAAAATATTATGTGTATAAATTTCCGATGCATGCTTTTCAATAGCCAAAGGATTCCTTAGCTTGGGGGTAGTAGTTGTGGACTGATAATCTAATAAATATTGATGATGTCTTTTCTTCTCCATTGCACTATCAAATGACATCATGAACTTCACCAAATTTGATTTATTGATGATGCAAAAAATGTGAGAAAGCATAATTCAGGCTCTTGATCTTGAAGTAGTTCGCATCAAAACTAGAAAGTTCAAGATCTCTCATAAAAGCCGGAATCCATAAATCCCTTATTTTAAAAACACTCTTTAACCAATCATTTTCTTTTAGATGAAACTTATTTAACATTGTTGACTAGGAACTTTCAAAATCTTGTGGAGAACATTGAAGATTCCATATAATATCAAAAAATGTCTTTTGGAAGTCCGGATGGTTATAAACATCGATAGGAATCTAAAAAAAGAAACACATAAGAATCATTACATAAGTTGAATATTTGATGTAATTCATAGTAACATAACATTTGTTTCACATTATGAATTCACAGTGTGATTTATGATTTAGATTTGTTTCTTTCATCATATGCAAATTTACATTGTGAATTCACAGTGTGCTTTATGATCTATATGGTTATAAACATATAAAGGAATCAAGAAACAAAGAATATATCTTTTCCTCAAGTTTTTGAGTGATGTGCCACATGCATAGTCTATGCTTGGATTCAGGAAAAACAAAATTAACATCTTTCTTCATTGATGAATCCTGATGTGTTACAATCATCATGGGTGGCTTGACAAATGCTTTACGAAACTCTTCAAGCAACCACACATATGCATATGCTGTCTCACGAGCTAGTAAACCAACACCAAAAGTAACACAACGCTTGTGGTAGTCAACTGCAGTAAAAAGAACAAATACCATAGAATACCTGAATTTTTTTTTTTGATAAGTATTATTAAAAAGAACAAATACCATAAAAAGAACAAATAAGGATTAGGAATTACTTGTTGTTTGATAAGTAGCATCAAAGATAGTACATCTCCAAATTCCTATAGTTGGCTTTCGAAGTCTCATCAGCCCAAAAAAAGTCCAGTAATATGATCATCAACATTTTTTTGACCTCAAATGAAAAATTAGAGAAACAATTTTTCTGTTTGTCCATATATCCACAACTATTTGGGAATCTTTGACACCAATTTTAGAATTCAAATCACTATGAAAATTTTTGAAGTCAACTATAGTCCCTCCCCTAGAATCAAAGCCACCCTCCATACTACTCACCAAGTTTTAAGCTTTTGAAGCACCAATGTTACAAGTACCAACCTTATGTATAAAGGATTCATCAAGAAAATCCATTGTCCTATTAATCCTTAATAAGTGCAACTGATCTTGAGCAAGTTCATGGTTGTGATCTTTAACAAACACATAAATGTAGAACATTAAAGAACATCGGAGATTCTTGAACTTTGAAACAACAGGGCATCCGTTCTTCTTAGAAGAAGTTCTCCTTCTCTTAACATCTGAAAATTTCACATTAATATTTTCATTATTGAACAACTCCGTGAAACTAGATCTACTACATGTGGAATATCTAATACGAATTGTGCCATCATTGTATCTTTTTTGACTTGACATATTCACATCAAAACCAGATTCTTGACCATAAGTCTTGTAAAAGTCAAGACCAATGTCCAACGAATCAAACAACAAACATGTGAAAGGCTTCTTATGTATCAACTTATCATAACGAACAAGCTCAAAAGACTCAGTATTGTAGAGCTCAAAATCAAAACTATAACGAGAATTACGGCTATTTGAATTATTAATATTCATACTTGAAGATGATTGATCATGAACTGCAAAAGCAAAAAAAAAAACATCCATTTTATTACATTACATAGAAAATGTGAAATTTATATTAAGAAAAAAAAAACTTACGTGATTGTTCATTAATAGTTGAATGCAAATCTGAACAAGAATTATTGTTATTTGAATGATCAATATTCATACTTGAAGATGATTGATCATGAACTGCAAAAGAAAAAAATAAAACATCTATTTTATTACATTACATAGAAAATGTGAATTTTATATTAAGAAAAAAAAACATACGTGATTGTTCATTAATAGTTGAATGCAAATCTGAACAAAAATTCAGAGAACTCATAATGAATTGGTAACCTGGAGTTTATATAGAGATTAGAATTGATAATGATACAAAAAAGGAAACAAACAAACAAGATAATCACAAAACTTTAAAATATATGCACAAGATAAGATAAGATTCTCAAAATCACTAAAAGTTTGGAAAAAAGTTAAATGACAGAAGATGCACAAGATAGAATTGATTATCTAAATGTCGAATATGCATTACAGATGAATGATTACAAAAACGATCGAAGGAAAAACAGTAACATCAAACGGATATTCAACATACGACATAAAATTAGCAAATTAACAATAAAAACATAACTATTTGAAGATTACACGGTAAAATCAAGAGAATTTGACAATCAGACGGTTACAATAAGAATAAAAATAAGTTGATAAACAATGCATCGGAAGAACAATAATAAAATGAAAATCTATAATTGACCTAATAATCATAAAAGAAAGATGAATAGATGTTAAAAATACCTAATTATTAGCTGAAATCTGAAGAAACTATTAGTAAATTGGATGAAAAAGGTTGAGATTTCGAAGAATAGACGAGATTTTGGATCGATCGGTGTTGAAGATGAAGGACAGTAACAGAAGAAGCTAACGGAGACAAACAGGAATATTAAATGAGACACTAAAATTACCAAAATGCCCCTCTGTGTTTTTTTGGTTAATTAAGGGTTAATGACCAAGATTAAAAGAAAATAGATGGTTAAGATGACTTCTTTGGTTCCTTGATCCATATTGGTTCTCTATTAAACTTTTCCATATATATATATATATATATATATATATATATATATATATATATATATATATATATATATATAGAGAGAGAGAGAGAGAGAGGAAAGATCATTTGAGAACTTATATATTCCCGAGAACCCGAGAACTAAATAAGGACCATCAGATCAAAATAATAAAAGGTTGGGATGTTTTATGGCAGTTTTGTAAATAATTAAAAAAAATGACGCGGGGGTATACGATTGAAATAAATCACTGGGCATTTTAGGGATAAGATAATTTATATCCCCCTGATACCTTTCTCTGAAACCCACGATCTTCCTCCTCCCCCAATGACGTTTTTCTTTGATGCTCTCCCCAAATCAACATTTCTCTGGCTCTTTTGATCATCCCAAACCCTCTGTTGTTTTCATTTCTCACCGATCCTCTTTTCCCATGCCATACCTGTTGATTTTTCACTCAAAATTAAGATTCTAGCACCGTCGTATGAAATCCATGGCCGCCTTCGCCTATCAGCACTCTGTAATCTCTTGATTGCAAGCAGCTAAATCCATGGATCAACGTTCCGACCTAGAAATCCAATGTTGCCTCTTCCATTATCGATTATGAAGTTATTTATCCTGATTCTCAACGTTTTCTTATATCCTGCAATCAACAACGATTTTTTGATATCCTGTAATTGTTCAGACACGATTTACATCTTTTCCTCACACCTCATGGCGGCCTTGTAAGTTTACTACATAGTAAACTGCCAAAAGAAAATGAAGATGAAAGTGAATGTGCCCTACACGATGCTTACATAGATCTTCCTTCAATCGTTTCGGTCTTTCATGAATCAGGTAATCCATTGAACAATGCATCTTATCCTCTTCTGTTTTCCATATTATAGCGGCATGATGTGTTTAACCTTTCCTCATACGAAAAGTTATATAATGACCTGTCACGGAATCGAATGAGGAACATTGGAAAACAAGATTACTAAATCAAACTCCACCTCCACCTCCATCGTAGAAAAGGAATCAGATGCTATACTTTCATTTTCTTCTATCATATGAACATCACATGAAATTTGAATTATTAAAATCCTTATTGCTTCCCTGTTTTTTCTAGAAAGTGCGATGTTACTGTTATTGTAATCATAAATTATTCAAAAATGAAGTATCAGATGAGTACCAATGGAAATCTTCGAATTTTGTTAGATTTTGATTCTAATCAAGTCTGTTATTCATCCTTCTCGTTGTTTCATTGATCCGTGCACACAACCTGTTTGATAAAGTGTCACAGTTTTACTTCATTTAAGTTGTTGTCCCTAGAAGAGATGTATGATGTAATCCATTGTTTTGGCAGGTGAAACCCCTAAGATATTATGTTACAACCTAGAAGAGATCCTCCAACAGTGGGTGATGATGCCATCTCCCTCTTTTCTTGCAAACGGGCTTTCTCCACTCCTTTCTTTCTTCACTTTCAATACAGTTGTTGGTGGCATTACATACAGACCATATGTCAGGTAGATATTTTGCATATCTCACATGGTTTACTTTCATTTAGTATTTGGAAGAATTACTTTCTAAAAAGAGATTTTGTTTGCTTATCATATGTGACATGTTAGCCAAAAATTTGGGGAGATAACTTTTTGTACAATCATTTCAGATGAACAAGTAAAGGGTTATGGTACAAGACTGATGAATCATCTAAAGCAACATGCTCGAGATATGGATGTGCTTACTCATTTTCTCACATATGCAGACAACAATGTTGTTGGTTATTTTAATAAACAGGTTAAGCATCTTTTACATGTTTTCTCATCATTTTAGTGTTACTAATTAAAAGTTAAAACACCTTCTTATCCGTTTGTAATCCACTGTTTTTTTTAAATATACTTTGTTTTTTTTGTTAGGTTGTATCGAAACCGGGACCCACAGTGAAGAGGATCTCGGAGATCAGTATATTTGACAACAATGGTCATAATCTTGTATTGGTATTTTTAACTTCAGTTCTTACCTCTTTCATCTGCTTATACATATTCTGAATGTACAATTTTACCCTTTTAATATGCCAACTATTACCATAATGCCATTATTCATGTTGCACCCTTCATCATTCACATATCATGTTAATTTTTGCAACTCGGTTATGGTTTTTATGAGTTTATGTTTGTTATGTACAAATGGAAAATGAAAATAACATGATACTCAAGTCTGATAATCAAAAAACAAAGCCTATTCCGAATAAATATTTTCACTAGATTTATTTTGTAAAATTTAGAAACCGAGATGTTTAATAGATTGTTTGATTTATTAAGTTAAAACAATGAATCGGTTGTTTGATTCATTGATCCGTGCACACAAACTGTTTGACTAGATCTAGCTGCAGCAAGAAGTGCAAGGATAAAGCATGCCAAGCTCAATATATTAAACCAAATTCAGGTAAAAGAAACCTTTTACTATAGTTTTTTGGAAACTTATGAACCAGACCTATGAGAATTTAATAATTTATATTATGATATTTGGGTAGATATCTTCATATGTGATTTGTTATAATATTTTAGTAATTAACTGGAAGCAAGACTATAAATATGTAGTGATTCACATGTAAATCACAAGTGAATCACATATGAATTACATGTGATTCACATGTAAATCATAGGTAATTCACATGTAAATCACAGGTAATTCACATATGAATCACATGTGATTCACATATAAATCACGAGTGAAACGCATATGAATTACATGTAAATCACATATGAATTACATGTAAATCACATATGAATTACATGTGATTCACATGTAATTCACTTGTGATTCACATGTAAATCATATGTGATCCACATGTGAATCACATTTGATTCACATGTAATTCACATGTGATTCACATATAAATCACATGTAATTTACATATGATGTCATATGTAAATGTGATTCATATGTGAATTGCATGTGATTCATATATTAATCACATGAAAATCACATATGTATTTTTTGTGAGTGTTTTTGCATCAATATTTTTTTTTTATTTTTCTTGTAGATTTGGAAGAAATTGTGGTGAATATTGAAGAGCTGAAAAATGATAAATTGAAGAAAATAAGGAAATATTGTCACGAAGACATGAAAACGCTTTGAAATTTATAGCATTTTTTATTTTTTATATTTTATTTGCATCGAATAAAATACTTGTATTATTATGTTTATAGATTAATTAATAAATATGAGATTTGTTGTGATTTACTTACGAATATTATAGTATAAGAAATATACATATGTGCATTTGAAAAAATATGCACATATGCACCTAAAAATTAACTTTTTATTAAAAAAATGCAGTTTTTTTTTAAAAAAATTGCAGTTTTTTTTTAAATACAGTTTTTTCTGAAAAAAATGTAACTTTCTTTAAAAAACTTATAGTTTTTTTTTTTAAAAAAATGCAGTTTTTTATTTAAAAATGCAGTTTTTAAAAAAAATACAGTTTTCTAAAAAAAATTGCAGTTTTTTTTGAAAAAAAAAATGCATTTTTTTTAAAAAAAATTGCAGTTTTTTTTGAAAAAATTACAGTTTTTTTTTAAAAAATATTTTTTCAAAAAACCATGTTTTCTTTAAAAAATTAAAAAATCTGCATTTAAAAAAAACCAAAAATATTATTTTTAAAAAAATATGAAAATTTGATTTATGATGTAATTTTTAGACATTTATATTAATATGTTAAATAACACAAAAAAATTAAACATCAAATGAGATTGGTAAGATGATGATCATGTCCTTAATGAATTACTTTTGATCAAACGTTCCACTTTTAGTTCTTGGGTTCTCGGGAAACTATGAGTTGTCAACCGATCTCAACCCTATATATATATATATATATATATATATATATATATATATATATATAATATATATATCTATATATATATATATATAATAATGATGTAATTATGACATCATCCCATGTTTTCGATTTTAGACCTGTCCGACCTGTTGGACTAGTTAAACCATCAAACTAGTAAGACGGTCAGTTCGGTTTTCAAAACCTTACTCCGGAGATCGAGATTAGTATTTTAATCCGAAGATTAAAAATTAATAGTTTCTTGAACTTATCCCATTTTAATGGGCTAGCCAAAAAAAAAGTTCTATTGGGTTGTTGCTATTTCGAAACACGATCATAGGTGGCACACGTGGCAGTATAAAGACGAAGGGCACATGAATTTCAAGGTATAAGAAGGATACTTGTTGTAACACGAAAACAAAAGGTCTAAATTCAAAGTCCTTT